CAAAGAAAGAATGCAACTGCGTCACTACAAACGGTTTTGAGTCATGTTGCTCATGGTCTATAACCATCGGTCACTACCGTCTCGTGGATCCCAACCAGGTAGTGTGCATCTATCAACATGACTCAGTCCACTTGTCAGTGAATTCATGGATTTCTGATATGCTTTGGTCTGGCCGTCCCCCCTCGACGATTTTAGTAATGCTTATGTAATATTCAGTCAGCAGGTCGAAACGTACATTCGTCTTATTTGGCATACCAGATGAGCATAGAGAAATCAAACTGTCTAGCCGAATCTCACAGTAGTGGAAGTTGTAATCAGTGTAGAAGAAAGTCATGATTAGTACAGAAGTGTAGAATATAAAAGACAGAGTGGATGCAACTTCTCAATTGGGATTATGTATAAACCATAGGGTTCTAAAAGCTTTGGCATCTATCGGACATCAATGTGCAGTAGTCTTCAAATGTTAAATAGTGATGTTCTCTTGGTCACTGTGTCTCGAATACAGATAGCACAGTGTTAATAGATTGCGTGTATCAGTATCTTGAGGACTGCATATAGTGATGCTTCTCGGAAACTGCCAAATTCTTTAGAAAAGAGAGGATTTTACTTTCAAAATCAAATTGTTAACACTTTTCAAACTATTCTTCTGTGCGAATGAGTTCGGAGTGGTTCCGTGTGACTAAATGTAGCTTGTCTGTAATGAAGAAGAATTATTCACACTCGATAATGAGACATCATGTCATTCCGTAACAGCTTTCCTAGAATCAGTGTTATTATCTTGATATTTAAGAGTTGTTATTTGCTACTTGAAAAATGCAGGTAGAAAAATTTCATTGTGCTTCTTTGGTTAGGGATAATCTCTCCTAACAGTCACTAATTTGGATTTTATTTGACTTTCGATACGTAGCGGTTTAGGCGGAGGAGGGCTGGTCGGCTAACGGGCAGTTGTAAGACTGAAGGGTTGACAGACATGAAGCGACCAATAATGCTGGAGTTGTCATCGAAAGTCTTCTACGTTGAACTGTAATAATAGTAACGTACCACGTTTAGTGCTAGGGTTGGCATACCGCGGCTCGTATTCAGAGTCTGAAGATTTAGTTCGTAGGGTTCCGGACCAGAAAAAGCTGCAGACGTCGGACGGAACCAGATTGAACGAAGAAGCCAGAACGACCAAGTTCGAAAACATATATACCAGAACATTTGAAACCAAAACATCGACTGAGTGCATTAACAAGAGCGTTGTTGACCAGGCCAGTTTTCACCAAGATTGACTGAGGTCGACGGTACCAACAGGGTGATGGTCGTAGATATGAGCTCAGGATACAAAATAAAAGAATAAGAGAAAAGTGTAGCATACATGTAGTACGAGGATAGTTTACTATCACGTATCCGTTATCGCCTGGCTGGTTATTTGAGAGAACGTACAGATAGGCGTATGCGGCGACCGGAGCGCGAGACGGTGAGTAAGTGGTCATACCAATGCAATGGTCCTGCAATGTCAATATGATCATTATCGAAACGAGCATCAGGAGTAGCAAATTTGCCGATAGGGGGGGGCTACGTGCCTGTGCATCGCTTTACCTGCATACTGACATCTTTATCCAACAAAGGCCAGACGTATGGTGCAGCGATGACATGTAATGTGGCTGCGATACCTGGATGAGACGATCCATGAAGGTTATCGAAGATGAGACGACGATGAGCAGACGGTTCGGGGTAAACCAGCAGAGATGTCACACAGGATAGTACCTTAGGTGGTGGCTAGTGTTGCTTCCTGGCACTGAAGGGATAAAGATCGTTGTGCTTCTGTACGGGATAGATCATTTGCTTAGGCAGCTGCACCAATGAAGTATCTGCTTTTATTTGAATACATAATAGAGCGTCAGCAAAATTGTTCGACTCGCCTTTAATATAACGAAGTTCTGTCGTGAAATGAGATATATAATCCAAATGTCTGGACTCTCTAGATGAGCAGCAGTCAGACTAGGTATGCAGAGCATACGTTAGAGGCTTATGGTCGGTGAAGAGGATAAAGTAGCGACATTCCACTGTGTGACGGAAATGTTTGATGGCACAGTAGGCTGGTAGCAGGTCGCGACCAAAAGCTCTACATCTCCTCTCTGTGGTGGTAAAGCGTCGCTGATCGATCATGATGGGCGAGAAGCCTGACTTCAGCTAAAGCTTTTGTAATCTCTAAAAATGCAGTACATGCGGCATCGTTCAACTCTAATTTACGTGGGCACCGCGAAGTAAGTCGCTTAATGGTCGTAACTTTTGTGCTGCATGAGGTATAATACGTCGGTAGAAGTCGGCCAAATCGAGAAAAGCCTTCAGTTCATTTAGTGAGGACAGTACAGTATACTCCATGATTGTGCGTAATTTAACTTCACATGGTAGAATAACCTCATGCCTAATGATGTGAACCGTAAATTCTATTTCTAACTTGCCAAGTTCACACTTGTCTTGGTTAGCTACTATTCATTTATCCGAAAGGCGTTAGAATAAGTGTGTACGATGTTGATAATGTTCATCTAAGTATGATGATGCGATTAGCAGGTCATCAATATACGCGTGAACAAGAGCAAAGTCTCGTACTATGCTATCGATAAACCTTTGGAAAGTTTGAGCAGCATTCCGTAATCGGAATGGCATTCGTAGTAACTTAAACAGACTGAAAAGAGTCGTGATAGCAGTTTTCTCGATTTCTCCAAGAGCCACTGGGATTTGATGATATGCTCGTACCAGATCAATCTTAGGATAGATAGTAGTGCTTTTGAGTGATGCCCTAATGTCATGTATGTGGGGGATGGGTTAGCTATTAATACGTGTTACTGTTTCACCTGTTGTGTAATATATATCGATATTTTCATATATATATATATATATATATATATATATATATATATATATCAATAAGTTACTTAATATGAGAAAAAGGAAATAGCCCTATACAGAATCTTTAGTTTAGAATCTATTCAAGAAAACCGGATTAGTACAACATACATCTAATTAAAAAAAGAAGACGGAAAGAAACAATATTCATTGATTAGATTCATTAAGATATCTATCACCTTTCACAAGCAGATACCTTTCTATCAGGATACTGTTTAGATATAATATCACTTTCACAATAACTTGAAGAAGAACATACAGAATTGTTTAATCCCACAAACCATTTAAGCACTATTCACAGTATTACGAAATAACATAGGAATCGAAACTGGACCAACTGCACCTGAAACTGGTGTAATCCATCTAGCGTTTTCTATAGCTGTTTCGAACACTAAACCACCAACAAATAGTGCTTTGTTTGGAATTCGAGGATCTGTTTGAACAGAAATAACAATAACTATGCTGATTTATATGCTAATTCGTATAACGTTGTTTAAACTGTTTAATTTCAAATATCAAAAAGAATAATCAGCGAGCTTTCAGTAAAACATGTTCCAATGATGGCGAAATTTTGGTGGTTAAAATGTTCGGCTTCCTTTCAGTAGTTTACAGGTTTGTAATACAAATTACATTATGCTGGTTTGAGTGCCTGGGTATTACTAGACTTCATCCATACAGTTAACTCAGTACATAAACCCTAGAATTCAGTAGATGAATTACTCTGATAACAATAACTAGATATGTTAAAGAATGGTATTTCTATAATAATTCTGAGAAAACTACTACATTTGCCACTTTGATGTTGTAGTTTGTTTGCCATATCGTAATGAACGAGTTGACCTAGATTGAGTGTGATACTTGTTTCTTTAGGTCCTAAAATATCCGGAAGTCCAACTGAGGAACGGTGGGTCCTAAAGCAGTAACGTTCAGACCGATATTTTCATAATCAAGATTTATTACCATGACTCGTCGAAGTTGCTTCTAGAACATAGTTACGATGTTATAGATAAAAATGTTAGTACTGGATAACCAATGGAAACGCCGGTGTGTTGATTTACAGTGATCTGGTATTCAGTATATTTTCGTTAAACAGAACACAAAATAAATTGGGTTTTACTAGGAATATACATTAGCATAACTGACTAAAATTCAGATGTTTGTAAAATTTGCCTACACTTTTACGTCGTACTGTTTATTACGGCAATGTAAATAAATCACTACCTTGTGCATTGTTTTTCACTATCGCATTGCACACATAAATATATATTCTTTGTTTATTTTTTCACATTTTACTTTCTCAAGCATTTACAAGCTTATTTTGACAAGTACTCAAAAGTTTGTTTTTTTACATTACGACTGTAGAATGCAAAAACAGACTATGGATGCAAATTTTTTGTTTTGAATTTATCATGATTAATATTTACTACTGAGCTCCTTAATGCCGTACAGGAGACAGCAGATGCTACCGGACGAATTGAGCTTTAATGTGGGTATTTACTAACCGCATGCATTTTGGGTTTGTATTTCAAACGAATCACGTCTCAGATATAACAGTATCGCTCTTGTTTAGGTAGTGTGCTGTCATGGTAAATCCTAACAAAAATATGTATGTCTGTAAGACTTTGAAATTGATATGGATAGTTCCCAAGTCCTGAATATTTTTGACATTTTTTAGCATTCTAGAATCACCTTGTTTCGTCTTTATTGATCGCATTTGAATATCTAGATTATTATGTATGAGCAGTCCTAGTTTATTACGTTTAGAGGAAAATTTTCCACGTCTGAAAATTACATAGCAGATAGTTATCATGAATAACAGGGGGGCTTAAACGCACTTCCTATTAAAAATATATGTTTAACTTAAAGTGAAACAATCTGAAATATGGATTAAAACTTTAAAGTCGAGTGACTAGACCTTCATCCATTGGACATTACCAAACACCTGTTACCGTAACGAAAGAACAAGAATCGATCGCGAAGAAATCAATTGGTTTACACTAGCTTTTGAAAAAGATATTGGATATTGGAAAGTTACTTACTTTGTTTGCTATCACCAATCGGTAATAATTCAAGGTTACCGGGCTGTATGAACTCCTCTGGGGATTGGTATGGAAGTACAATACAACGAGGGAAGGTTTCCCGTTCCACCAAAGTTTGACTTCAGGCATTTGCCTCTTAGGTCAAGAAAGGTGACAGTTATATCATTCATTGGAGAACACGACATATTCCTCGATAAATCTCAATTTTCATACATATTTAAATATACTGGGAAAGAAATTCCACTTTCGGTAACTTTCTGCCTATATATTTTACTTCTCTAGGATCTCCCCAGGGTATTGCAAAATTCAATTTTATTTTCTACCACAGAATTATATAGAAGGATATTATGACTGTGAAAACCAAATCATATTTTTAGTTTTCAATAATCTGGAGTTAGAGCTGTTGTTTAAAGGCTGTGATACAGAACTCCGAACATGGGAAAAGTTCCTTAAGCGTTTCGACTACACATTGTTGAAAGTCTTGTACTTTCTCTTTGTTGTGTCGCACTTCATCGTTGTAAGTCTCAATCTCTTTCTAATACGAAAAGGTTACGTGCATAGGAACAAATGTTAACCCCGATTTGATCCGTATTTTCAAGTTGTTAGATAAGATGAGGTTGGTTTACATTGATATTTTAAAAATTCAGATTGCTCATGAGACATCCTATTGATATTTATACTCGTGACCTTCCATTACCTCGAGACTGGTTAAACAATGGACGCGCTTCTATTCCGAGGCTATTATTTGTCTTTAAAATGACTCCCGCCCAATCAAAAATAATAAAAGTTAGTTAAACTCATATCATTGTGCTTATGTTTACTTACTGTCACTGTAAGATTCCACTGCCCTTATAGTTTATCTTACCATGGTTGCTTGAATTTTGTGTGAACGGTGTAATATACACGTTGTATCATGCTTGCGCACGGTAAAACTTTGAGCTGATGATAACGCTTACGACTTTTATGAAGTTCGGACAAAAAGTCACAACCTTCACAGACTTACTGTGCTCTGCGTAGTGTATTTGGTCATGAAAGCGTTTTCTCTTGCTAGTCATGCTCATAGTATGCTGGTAGCGTGTACACAAAATATCCCTTTAGACTTTTTGATGTGAAATAAAATCGCCGATGATGTCTGTTTTGACTTTTGATACAAGTTTTACTCTTCGTGTATAATAAAACGTTTCGAGTTTTAAACTGGCTAATTATTTATTTCATTGTCTAGCTTCGTTATTCATTTTACTAACCTGGATATTGGAGCACAGTCACCTTATCATTTAATAGACAGACAGACAGATAACAACACAGAACTTCGTGCGTATGTACATTAGTTCAGATTGCTACATTGCAATAACACAGAGACTCAACTGTCCGTTCAAATCCCATATCGGTAGCGATAGTAGAAGTATTAGAAGTTATGGAGATTAGGGTATAATCCAGTAAGATAAGGTTAGAAAGAGAAAGATAGAGGTGATGAGGAATTCAGAAGGTTAGAATTTGAGAGAACACAAAGAGTGGATGCACCTGCACCATTACAAACGATTTTGGGCCATGACATTCAAAGTCTTTGACCGTCGGTTCTTATCATCTCAAGAACCTCAATCTGGTAGTCTATATCTACCAACATGACTCAGTCCACTTGTCAGTGATTTTATAGATTTCTGCCATGTTTTGGTCTGGCCACCCCTATCTTTATTTCAACCTATTTCTGCAGGACAAAACATTGGTCGTCGAGTCAGTCGGTGGTTAGGCATACGTAACACATGTCCCAACCACCTCAACTGATTAAGTTTCAGTACTTCATCTGTTGATTTGCTATCCTTACCTAGTACTCGTTTCCGAATAACAGCATTTCTTACTCGTTCGTCTGAGGATATACCAGCAATGTTCATCATCGTTATATGACGTCCTCATATCTAGTGTTGTCCGTCCGAACCCACCCCCTTCATCCGGCCTTGGGGCCGGCAGTTAGTCCAGAGGATCTGCAGGCTGAGTTATGTTCGGATCAAACCTTACGTTATTTGCCACTGACTGATTGAAACATAGTTCTCTCTCATGTTTTTTAGGATTGGAAACTTGTCAGACAGTTGGAACAAAATATTGTTACTCAAATATTCAATACATTTTATGAAGCGGGTCTCGTTAGCAAGTAAGTTTAGTAATTTTCTCATATTTTCATCCGCAAACAGTGTACATTCGTTCAGTGTTTATTTGTCCAGAGCTGGTGTTAACCAGAAACAGGTCGTATCCTTTGCAAAGATGCTAGATATGGTCATCGTTAACTTACCTTCAACTAACTATTCGACCACTAAAACAACTCTCCTTCATGTATAAACACAACATGTAGTACGATATAATTCAAGCCTGCCTTTTCGAAAAGATTGTTAAAATGTTGATAGAGTTTATCGCCGATTACGTTACGGCTATAATCTGTCGAGGCATAGGTAAAGACTATGGGATCAACTTCGGTGGCTTGGAAATATATTACGAATATTGTTCCAACAAATTCCAGGCCCTATACTATTTACTGACATTAGCACTGGCGGAAAAAGTGAAGTAATCAGTTTTTGACGTGGGGCGGCTGCAACGTAGAATTTGCTGCGTACATACATCAGTTCCATCAGTCATACCATATTGGCACAAAGAGATGGAATTGTCGGTTCGAATCCCGCAGTAGTAGAAGATGTAAAATTATTAGCCGTAATATATCTCAAGGAAGTAATCTGATTTTACCTTTTCAAAACGAAGAAGCAGCTCGATTTACTCTTCGTGTATCTGAAAGTCCTGATTCCGCATCCCTAGGTCTCGCCGGTGTAGGTGTGGCATTGAGTCGTAGGGTTGAACTATCTCTGCTAGACTGGATCCCTGTAGATAGTCGCCTGTGCGCTGTCCGAAAAAACGGGACAGTAGGGACTCGGAAAGATAGGGACACCCGTCGTTGCCTCTTTATCATATCTGCTTATGCCCCCACTGACTGTAGTTCAGACAAGATGAAAGATGAGATTTACAGAAAAATTTCAGACCTCTTCCAAAAAGCTAGGCACTCTGATATAGTTATAATGGTTGGCGACTTCAATGCTCAAGTAGGTAGACTAAGGGAAAATGAAAGACACCTGGGTGGATGTTATGGTGTCGCGGCTCAAAGAACAGACAATGGCGACCGTCTGTTGCAACTGTGCTCAGATAACCAACTATTTCTAGCAAACACTAATTTTAAGCATAAGGAAAAACATCTTTTGACCTGGCGACCTCCAAAGTCGTCTCAACGTTGGACGCAACTAGATCACATCGCCATCAGCCACCGGCGGATGGGTTCAATAGAGGACTGTCGCTCGTTTTGGTGCACATGTTTAGATTCAGATCATACCCTAGTACGAGCGCGTATTTGTTTGAGGCTTACTGGACGTAGGAAAGACACCGTAAGGAATCCTCTTAAGGCTTTACTTGATGATAATCAAGCTAAGAATATATTTCAGGAATAACTAGAAAAGAATTTAGGCGGTCATGTAAGTGATTCATATCCGGAGGCAGGTTGGAATGATATCAAAAATGCTGTGGAAACGGCAATGATATCTGCTAGTAAGGTAAACCATAAGTCTAGCAAGAAGCCGTGGATCTCAATAGCATCTACTGAATTGACGGATGCTCGGAAACTCATCCCGCCCGGCTGTGAGTGCGATGGGGAGCGGAGTCAGCTTAGACACAGGCTGATAAAAAGCCTACGCAATGATCAAGAACAGTGGTGGGTGGCGAAAGCAAAAGCGATGGAAAAGGCGGTGGTGATAGGCAACAGTAGACAGTTGTTCTGCATTATAAAGGAAACCGGTGTTAGAAATCCATCTGTTAGCGAAACTATCTCAGGGAACGGTGGTTGTTTCATTCATTCTCAATCCGAGAGCTTGGATCGATAGGCAGAACATTTCAGAGATCAGTTCAACTGGCCTTCAGCCACACTTCGGCTACCCTTAATCTCCAGTCATCCCGAATGGCAAATCGATTTAAGTCCCCCGACTCTTTATGAAGTTGAGAAGGCTGTAGCAAATCTAAAGCGAGGTAGAGCAGCAAGGCCTGAGAGATTTGCCCCTGAGATATTTAAGGATGGTGGTCCAGCTTTAGCAGCTAGGTTGACTGAGATCTTAGGTAGAATCTGGGAACTGGGCATAATATCGTCTCACTGGTCCCAATCACAGATTGTCGCAATCTATAAGAAAGGACAAAAGTCTTCTTGTGACAGTCACAGGCAATTAAGTCTAACTAATATAGTTTCCAATAATCCTTAGACGCCTAACTAGAGCTCGTGAAGAGCAGACTTGAGAAAATCAGGCTGGTTTCAAACCTGGACGTGGCTGTATAGACCACATATTCACACAGGACAGTTCCTGGAACACAGACACACATTTAGGCGTCCTACAATAGTTGTCTTCTTGGACCTAAAGGCAGCATTGGACTCAGTGGGTCGTCAGGTTTTGTGGCAGTGTCTGTCATTGAAAGTTTTTCTGAAAACAGAATCTCTCTTCATTTCAAATTTTACTGGTTGAATTCTCATAGTTTTCATGGCTGTTGTGCATTATAAGAATGGGTCCTTGATTAAGGTATTATCAAAATAATTCATGCGTCACAAAGTGCTTGCGTTCATTAATCGAAAGCCCTTCAACCCAAGCACGCAAAGGCCACACTCGCTGAGTAAGAAATGTCTGCCACTTGTTTGTATTGGTAATTAGTTTTTGCATTATCTGTAATGTACTGTTGCAATCCGTAGAAAGCGATAATGATCCTATTCCTCTGTCCAAATCAGCAGATTTTAACTCATCATTCAGTGCTTTGGTAGTAAATTACTTTAGACTTTTCAAAACTTTTTGTGTATGTTCAGTCTCTTCACATTCCCCACAACGAGAATAACAAAATCGCATTGTCAATACTTTTTAAATTGTGCACTTATCCGAATGATAAAATCTTGTGTTCGGTCTACATTTCTTACCTGGGTTCGTGTATGCGCATGACTGATAAGTCTCATACTGAGACAGAACTTGTTTTTATGTGACTTGTGGTGGTCTAAGATCTGTTCATTAATTTGAAATGTCTTTGTAATTGTCTGTTATTATATTCCTGTGAGGATGATGGGAGGAGATTATCAAAACGTCCATCCCAGGAGATTTTAATACACTGCTGGTGGTTTACATAGTATTTCTGATATGTAGTGCTAAGATTTAGATAAACAATTTGCCTTAAATCACTTGGCCCCAACATTTCAATTTTTCATATGTTGCATTGTCAGATCTATGTATTCATGAACGTCACTTGAAATATTTAACTATGTTTTTTTATTTTATAGTGTTCCAACAAATCAGTTATTTATGCTTCCAGGACATAATTTTGTACACGTTCTTCTAGAGAATGAGCAAACAACAAATGGGTTTAGACAACATACATCTTGTGAAGATGTTGCTCAACAATATTTTGAATTTATTCTTAAAAATGTCAATCACATTTCGAACATGTCTCCTAATAAAATTCCTAATCTTTTTGCATCGTCCACATTTTTATTGAATGATCCGAAAAATTCTGTTAGTTCAGTATCGCCACCATCTCCACGAACTTTCCCAGCACCTGATCAACCAGCACAGCATAATTTATCTTCTTTTTTACATTTACATGTCGAATGCATGATTGATCAAGTATCTAATAAAAACTCATCTTTTGGTCAAACAACAGTTGCGTATGAATTGCCAACATGTAAAGCATGGTTTATGGTAAGCTTAGAGAAAGTTAACTTTTTCTTCAGATATGACTCTGAGACTAAGAATTTTCATGCGGCTTTTTTTTAAATTCATGAATTTTTAGTTTGTTTAGCGTTAATTCGAAAATATGTGGATCGTGGTTTGCACATATGTATTTTAGCACTAGTTTTTATTGACTGTTGTTTGACTATGGACGATGAAATTATTTATCTCCTTTTCATATTCTCATTTATTCAAGGATTTGCTGTAACATAATGTTCTATTTGCAGGGACTTAAAACGCATAGGTTGCTTGTTCACTTATGTCAACTTGAATTATTTCTTACCTTCATTGAATGTATTTATACATCTGTTTAAACAATATTAAGTGTTTGAGTGTAGGTGATGTTTAAACTGTGAATGTTCTATCAAAATTATGTATGCAGAGTCTTTTTTTATACAATAAGAGCTATAAATTAATAGAATCGGGCTTTGAACTATTAAGTTACATTTTATGATCTCGTTTCACCTTTTGTTTTAGCACTCATGAAGTATCGTGAAATTTCGTAAAAGCAATGTTGCCAGCTAATTTTTTGTTGTTGAACTACTGAGTGAGTAATGTATGAGCAAAACTTAAGAATTTTATATACGAAACATGCAGATTGTTACAGTTTACTAGGAAATAGTTTCTGACTGATATCAATCCATAAAACAATCTCCTTTTTATTGAGTTCAGTGAAGTTATGTTTTTCCCGGTATTGAGATTTATGAAGTAGCAGTAGTTGATGTTTCAGCACTTCAGATCCTATTGTACGCTTTGTCATTTTGATTTTTATTGTTATTGTTTATTTTTTCGTATTTTGGTTTTATACATCACAAGATCAACCTGTATAGCTTATCGTTAAATGTTGAACAAATGTACGGTAACTAGTCACATTTCGGATGTTATACATCATTTTATTTTAATGTAATTCTGCTCAGGTGGTAATAGAAATGTTTGTCATATTTGATGAATAACTGTGATTATGGGAAAAGTTAGATCAGAAAGCAACAACATGGAACTTCGTATGCATGTACATCATGGTTCGATGTTGCATACCACATTAGCATGGAGACATCAACTATTCAATTCAAATCCCATATTAGTAGTAGTATTAGCAGTAATGAAGAAGATGAGAAGTCGAAGATATGATTCGAGAAGTAAAATAAAGTGAAATCAATTTAAAAAAAGGTCATGAGGAATTTAGTAGATTAGAATTCGAGGGAAGATAAAAAATGGGCGTACCTGCGCCATTGCAAACAATTTCGAGACTCTAACTACCGGTTACTATTGTCTCGTGGACCTCAACCAGGTCAGTCAATTACAACGTAAAACTTCGTACGTACGTACATAAGTAAGTTCAGATTTCCATTCTACATTAGCACAGAGATGCACTTGTCAATCCAAATTCCATAGTAGTAGAGATAGTAGAAGTATTAGCGGTAATGAAGAAGATTAGGCTTCGAAGAAATTATTCAAGAAGTATAATTCAGTGAAATAAATTTAGAAAGAGAAAGATAGAGGTGATGAGGAATTTAGAAGATTATGATTTGAGAAAACATGAAGAGTGGATGTGCCGAAGCCACTGCAACCGATTTTGAGCCATGTCGTTCAAGTTCTCTAACAATCGGATACTATCGTTTCGCGGAACCTAACTAGACAGGCAGTCTACACCTACTAACATGACTGACTCTACTTGTCAGTGACTTCAAGGATTTGTACCATGTTTTGGTTTGGCCGTCTACGAATATATAAATTAATAGCTCTTAGACTAAGTATTCTATACATATTACAAATAGGTAATTTAAAAAAATCACACACAATCACCACAATAACATGATTGGTTTCTTTCTACAAACTTTACAGTCAATCAACAAAAGTTAGATCATTATCTCGAAAATCAATCCAATCCAGTGTGATTTGAATATAATCCTGTTTTTTAATATTGTTTTGATTTACGAACTTCATGGATTTTTTTATGCAGTATATTTTGAATTCTGGTTGTTAGTGAGATTCTGAACAATGGTTTTGTTTTACTTGGGGTTTTCAAACTGCGTTTATGTGCACCTGTGTTATTGTCCACACAGAGACTGGAATTCAGTACTAATATGTTTTAAGCATGTTTTTACACAGAGTACATGTATTTTTCGAGCTAGGGACATTACACTTGGACATCTGAATTTATGTATTAGAATTTTCTTCTCAAAACGCCGCATCTTTTAGTTGGTTAGTTTGTGAATGTCATCGGTACGTTAATCATAATTTTATTCTTGGAGTGATTAGTTTAGTTGTTTTGAATAGTTGGCTGACAATTATATAGTAATTATAATATTAATGACATGATCTAATAACTTGTATATGCTTCTTCTAAACTATTGTTTATATCTACTGTGTTGTAACCAGTTATACTGGTTAGTTGTTCAATTCCTTTTGAGCGATTCAAGCATAAAACTCGTGATCTGGAAATTGATTATCTGACAAACTTGACTACTATTACTACTACTCTTTGGCATTATCAGGTAGTATAACTAAATTTTATGGTTATTAACTACAAACACACTCATCGTGATTATATTTTGTGTACGTTTAGGCCTGCTATAGAATATATACAAGCTTAATATCGGACGAACACTTGACCACACTTCCAACTCCTGAAATGAATACTGGTCAAAATGATTCATCCTCACGTATTGGAAGTGGAGGAGCGGTAGTGAGTCTATCACAGTCATGGCATAATGAATTAATTTCTATCCTCTGTCCTACACTTCACACATCAACATTATCTATAGCCCAGAAACAAACGTCACAAAGGTCTGCTACACAAGAAGAAGAAGAAGCTTTACTCACTTCAAATTACAATAATCCATGGTCTACTACGGATCCAATTAATCGTTTGTCTATTATTCGTTATCGGGCTGCAATATCTACTGCTGAAAATCATTATAAACAAGATTTGCCTGTTCATTATTCGTGCACATATCATATAATCAAGGTAGTTCATTATTTTCTTTCATATAATGTAAATAAATTTTTAATGGCCTGTTATATTTCAATGATTTTTAAGACCTTTTTAAAAAACCCTAGTCGATAAGTATCTCCAAGTCACATATTACAGTTAAAATACTTCCAATATGCAGTGTGGTACTCATATGTCTTGATTAGATTCATTGTGTCGCACGAAATTGATTTGATTGTTTTTTGAGGTTCAAAATCATTGATTTATATCGCTTTATTAAAGCCATTTATAAAAACTAGACTGCATCGACAAAAAGTTAATAATCCTACAAACTAGTATCATGTCTTGGTCTAGTTTATCTCAGCTTATCTCCGACATGGTCACGCTTATATCACGGACGACGTGAGAACCAAGATAAGAGCTGACATAACGTCAGATCATCACTTGGTGGTGAACGAAATGAAACTGAAACTGAAGAAGAACTGGACAACTGGTCGAAGGGCATCGGAAAGTTTTGATACGGCTTTACTTCGGGATACTGGAAAACTCAACGAATCCAAGATTTCTCTCAGCAATAGGTTATAATCCTTACACGATTTATTCAATGAAGAGGAAACTACAAAGGAGAACAACAGAAAACGGATCAGGAAAAAACGACAAATCGAGATTAGTGAGGCAGCAGGACCAGACAACATTCTAGCTGAGGCACTGAAAGCAGACATAGCAGTAACTGCAAAGATGTTGTACACTCTGTTCAGCAAGATTTGGGAGGAAGAACAAGTATCAACAGACTGGAAAGAGGAATACTTGATCAAAATACCAACGAAAAACGATCTCACCAAGTGTGAGAACTACAGAGACATCACTCTACTATCAGTACCAGGGAAAGTCTTCAACACTGTTGTTATACAGAATGAAGAATTTCGTAGACGCCGAACGTCGAGTTCAGCAGTCTGGATTCCGTCAGCATTGATTATGTGCTGACGAAATCCCTACACTACGTATCATTATGGAGCAATCAGATGAATAGAACTCACCACTCTACGTAAACTTCAGATTACGAGGAAGCATTTGGTAGCGGTGGAGATGATGACAGTATGGAGGCTTTTTAGACTCTACGGTGTGTGAGGTGATATTCAACATCATACAGAATTCTGATGATGGATTAAACTGCATAATCATGCATGGAGGAGAGCTCAGATGCACCACCTCAATCACATCTGACGGGGAAGCTCTTGAAGATTTAGATACGTTTACATACCTGGGCATCATCACTGATGAGCAAGGTAGATCTGATACTAATGTAAGGTTATGGATTTACAAAGTAACGCAGGATTTCTACAATTGAAGAACATGACATCTAATCAGTCAAACAGTTTGGATTATAGTGTTGTGCAAATTAAAGTTAATTTGACTTACATCAGCAGTTTCATATAATATGCTCTCAATGTTTCATATTCTCATATTATAGGTTATTTCCGCGTATAATGTAGCAATTGGTTTAGCTCGTGGTCACTCAGTATTTCGTCTTTTAGAGAAACTATCAAGTCGATTAACTCATCTTTATCTAGCCGGACGTGTAACATGTTCTGCTGTATCTTTATCAGGTCAAGCTTGCCAGCATGAACTACATCGTGTGCCAGATGATTTAAATACTCTGAAAGGTATTCTGTCAACCATGGATAATAAAAGTAGTGAAGACTATACTGTGCCTAATTCTGATGAAAATTTACTATCTCATCAACGTTACCAGCCAAATTCTAGTGTAAATAAATTACATGGAATTGATTTAAAAATTAAAGATGAATATATCATTCCTTTCGGTTAGTTGCTTTTGTAAACTTTTTTTTGTAAAGCAGTAATTCACTTACTATGTTCTTATACATGTTACTTGTTGTTCAGCAACCTATTGTCAGTTGTATATGTGCAAACACTTCTATACTAGCAGTGAATATATTCTTGTATTTTCAATAGTACTTATCCATTGGTTCATTTCTTCACATGACTCAGACTGCTAATTGTTTCAGTGTGTAGTCATAAAAAAGTAAATTACTTTATTCACTATGTCAAATGTGAGCCGAATAATTTGAACTGTGATTAAGTGAGAAGTCTAATGAAATAAGTTTTCTGCCTTGTAATATTAGTGGAAAAAATATGAGTATGAAATATCCTGTAAAATCATATTTTTCTCTTTTCTTCAATTTCGGTTTTTTTGTTCCTAAATCTGCCAGTCAGCTATAATGTAGAACTTCATACGTACGTACATAAGTTCATGTTGTCATACCACATTAGCACAGAGACACAACTGTCAATTCGAATTCCATATTAGTACAAGTAGTAGAAGTATTAGCATTAATCAAAAAGATTAATGATCGAATATATCATTCAAGGTGTATACCCCAGAGGAACCAGTTAAAAAAAGTTCACGAGGAATTCAGAATATTAGGGACCTGTAATCGTTATCCGCTCCGATAACCTTGGTTTTTCACTTACTGACTTCGTGATTTTATGTTTCTTTGTTCATTACTTCCTATGGTTACTTGGAAGTTCATATGATTAGCTGTTTGGCGTTTTTTTAAGAAACGGAGCTGCCAACTCCATGTCTAACCCTCATCTGATACTCCGGGCTTGGGACCAGCAGTAACCCTAAAACGGTTTCAAGTGTTTATTTGCAAGTCATGTGTTTAAAACTGTTCTCAAGACAGCAAGAGCTCAGTTACTGAGGATCGGTCTCTCGCTTTTCATTACACGTTTTTCAATAACATTTTGCCTCCCATTTCGTTCGTTTCTTATAGACTACCACCAATCACAGAGTTAGCTTTGGATCCCTACCTCACAAACATATATCAAATAAAATTTTAGATTCTGAAATACACCTCATAGAGTTCTATTTACTTATATATTCTAAAGCTTTTTTTGTAGATTGCTTCACTAACTTTATAATTCTTTTACATAACAATCAGGTCTTAGTGGTAAATGGAAACGTTATTGGATAGAATGTGCCATTAAATCTTTCACCAATAACAACAATAATACTGGATCGTTAGATCAGAATTTGTCAAATGAGAAACAGACAAATGATACTCTGAATTCGGATAATCCAGATCAACATTTAGCTGTAATGCCACATCGTTCTGATGTAATAATGATAAGTTCATGTGGTTGTGGTCGTCAACAAGCTGAAAGATTAGATCCATTCGATTATAAAGAAGCTAATTGGCGTTTTTATCATATATTATCAAATGTTTGTTGTAATAAGGTAGGAAATTTGAATTACATTTACGTTAGATTTAATACTTTTTGCTTCATTCATTAATTCGTCAATAAGTCAAAAAAAAAAAGATCTTCAACATATAGTCCATAGTTAAATGATTTAAATATTTGATTTTCAATCATTTATTTTTGTTTACCGTTACTTTAATATCCGAAGTCTACTTAGTATATTTAGGTGGGCGCCGAAATATTCCTTACCATAAATCCATAAAAGGCCCAAAAACGCCAGAAACGTTTCGTTCAATCAGCTTTGTAAACTAAATTAATACTATTAAAAGACTTTTTAATTTAGTGTGTATGATCTACATTATATGTTAATTATTTTCCTTAAATTACTTCATTCATCTTGTTGTTTTCTAGTTATTGCCTAGGTTACTACACAATAATCTTAGTCTAAAATTGTCTTTAAGTTCTTTCTTATTCTCTTATCTGATCCATCCTTTATGAACCATATTTCACTTACTTACCTATATTTAGTTAAAACTATGTTAATTCTAAGTAAATTTCATGAAATGTTTTTTTAAGGATATTGAATAATTGTTAGTCTATGAGATTCCATAGAACATTTGTTTTTACACCTATTCAGATGGTTTGTGTAACTATATGTCTCGATTTGTGATGTTTTAACATAAACTACAGTGGAATTATTATCTCTCAGTAACCTTTAATTATTGTACAAATGTATGCTGTACATACATTGTACTTCCGAATAATTTTCCTCGTCAGATATTAATTTATGTGTATGACATAATTTACAAATTAGTTACATTGATTAAGTTATATGCTGATGTACGTGTGTTCGTAAATAGTTATTGTAAGACTACATAGATAAGAACTTAACTCAATTCTATAGTATCTACCTAATTATGCACTATCATCAAACTTGACCACAGACTACTTGAAGCGTTAGTTTTTAAGATCTTACACCCGTAATTAAGTTTGTATCACTACAGGTTTTTTTTTCATTAGAGAAAATATTTCCCCATCTACTTTCAATGATCACCACATGATCAGATGGTAGTTTGTCTATCATATTAACACAAATTTCTCCGTATCCCAGTCATCATAGATTACCAAAATTCTAAGGAGGAAAATATACAGAATAAATAATATTAACTGCTTCTGATAAGTGCAATCAACAATGTTGTTATTTTATAAAAGCTTACGTTGTTGTTGTTGTTGTTGAGATATCCCATCTAAAATGCCATTGTCATTGATTGAAACTGATTGAACGCAAATTATATTATGTTCTTATTTATTTGTTAGGAGTTTTATACAACACTTATCTTTTACATATATATATACTCTGTAAAATAATTAAAATTGTTGTATATTTACATTACTAGTTGGACACCAAAAAAAAATGTTGCAGATAATTTCAACCTGAAGTTATTATCATGTTAATTTGTGAAGTCTGTATTATAAAATAGTTTACAATGTTTAAATGTTATCCTTATTGATTCTTTTCAATCAGATAATTGATTTGTTTGTATTCTTTTCCTTTTCCTCTTCCTTTTTTCTTTCTTCTCGTACGTATATTCAAATTGTGATCACACACAATAGCTAACAAATATTAGATTATCACCACAAATTTTATCTGATCCACGTCATACTTTTTGTTTACCTAATGAAAATCCACATCTTGTCACATTAACATCATCAAATCATCATCAAACAAACACAAAAATATTCAATGAAAAATCAGTATGTATTTTAACAAAACCTAAAAATGCTACTTCATCACCATCACCACCACCGGCATCATCATCATCAACAACAACAACAAGAACAACATCACCACCACTACGTGTTAGTCGAGCTAAAACATTGACAGACAATAATAATTCCATAGATGATGATGATGAAAATGATACGAATACAAATGCAGATATTGGTCTTTCACAACCTGATGATAATGATTTATTATTATTGTCAGCTGACTCGGATCATTCAAATTCAAGTAAAGTAGTGATGCATAGAAAATCAACTGATGATGATGATGATGATGACGATGATAGTTCAGATAATTCAATCAATGATAAATACATGAATGCTGTTAATAATTTATGTAAGTTGATGGTTTCATGTGTCATATGTCATCGATTGGCTTAACATATCTCTTATTATAATGTTGATATTTTCTTTTCCATATAAATCAATAGCATTAAGGAGTTTTATATTCTGTATGATGTAAAATGTAAACCATAATAGAGTTGCTAATATTATTGTTCAATAAAAAAAAAGAACATTCTTGTGATAATTATAAAAATCTTAAAATATAAAGAAGCATAGTCAAGAGTTGAATATACTCATATTATCCCTAATGGTTATAATATTAAATGTTGTTCAACCCTATTACTAGAATGTTTTATAGTTAGTACTATGGTTTATTGGATGTGTAATTATTCACTGAGATATTGACTTTAGTTTACTTGACCACATTGTTTTTTTGTTATTGTTTATACAGCATACTTTTTATGTACAGGTACATGTTATCCACTGTAATACAATTCCACTATATAAATATATATATTTCCTTTGAATAAATACCATTCCATACCATTACGTAATAACTTACAACTATTTGATATGACTAAAACTAAAGCCTAGTTGTTTTGTGCCAATTTAAGTGTTGCGATGATCTTTTCAATCACAATCCGACATCTTACTGACATCGCAAAGTTGTTTGTTTACTTGATAATTGTAACCAGTAAAAAAAAATCAGTTTTTTTAAAATCAAACATTCAGTTTAGCAATATTTGGTCCTAAAAATTGATAAAAAATAACTATCACTCAACCAGACAGGAATATCGTATGATACTTAGGCTGCTGTACAAGAAATACTTGATCCTAATACTGATTATGTCTGAAATTACTTAATATGACTCAATGCATAGTCAAGGGTGTTTGTGTAACTGCTTAATATTCTCCCACTCTAAAGCTTGACTTTTAGTATTAACTTGTAGGTAAACAGAATAGTTGAAAATTATCAATGCCTTCTAACGTATATCAATTTGTAATGAGAACTTCATAGAGTTATAACGCTAACTCAACTCACAGTATTCAAACTGAATCTCTTTACTATACCAAATACATGGTTAATTGATCATATCGAAACCACTATTTCACTGTTATTTTCTGCCTTTCGTGCTTATTTGTTTTATAACTGAGTAACATTTTCTCATTGGCTGATAAATCGAGCCAGTTCGTTTATATGGCATACTAGGGTAGCAACCGATGGTTAGAGACCTTAAATGACATTGCTCAAAATCGATTGCAATTGCGCAGGTGCATTCATTCTCTGTATTCTCTCAAATTCTAATCTGAACTCCTCATTACCTTCATCTTTCTCGTCCGAAATCTATTTCACTGAATTATATTTCTTGAATAATATCTTTCCGATTACTGCTCTCTCTACTCTACCCTCTAGGATTATTGGATTTGAATCGACTATTGTATCTCTGTGCTACCGTGATATAGCAAATTAAACTGATTTAAGTACGTACGAAGTTCTACATTCTAACTAATTAATATAACATACTATAACGTATAATGTAACATTATGGTTTATCTGTATTATTGATTTTAGCTGAAAGTTCATCACCCAATCCATCTGAACTATCAAACATATCAGATTCAGTTGTTCCATCACAAAACGATTTAATTGACAAAACAGCTGAAACAAAAAATAATGAATGTGTCAATGTATCTGCGCATAATTCACAATCAAAGATAAATTCATCAACAAATTCTATTAAAGTTGATAATAGTTCTCCAACTGACTTGGTATCTTTATATCCTGTTAAATTTCGTGATGGTGTACCAAATACTAATTGGTTTGTTGGTGATTTACCACTTTATCCATCATGGTCTATTTATGCACTTGGAAAATATTTCAGTTATTCTCATTCTTCCGGTAATTTTTACATTTCTCATTACATAATTTAGTTTTATTATTGATACTTATTTACCAAAATAAAGAGAAAACTAACTATAACGTGATTTGTTCAGGTTTACACTTCATTCAAATCTACTAACTTCGCTTAGTGAATTTGCCTCGACGAACTTTGTTTTGTAGTGTAGGAGTAGGTTGGAAGAAAGTTAGGGGCGGTCAGACCAAAACATGGCAGAAATCCATGAAGTCATTGACGAGTGGACTGAGCCATGTTGGTAATTGTCGACTACCTGGTTGGGGTCCGCGAGATGATAATAATCGATGGTTAGAGACCTTGAATGACATGGCTCAAAATCGTTCGCAGTGGCGCCGGTGCATTTATTCTTTGTGTTCTCTCAAACCCTAATCTTCTGGATTCTTCAACACCTCTAGTTTCGACTCTCTAAACTTTCCTCACTGTATCATACTTCTTGAATAGTATCTTCTAACCCTAACCTCTCCGATTACTTCTAATTCCCTTACTACCTCTACTACTATTGGATTTGAATTGACAATTATATCTCTATGCTGATGTGGTATGGCAACATGAACTGATGTACTTACGTACGAAGTTCTACGTTGCATATGACTGACTGATGACTGCTCAGTGAATTTGTTTGTTTGAGTTCATGTCCCTTAATTTTCATTCGTTGTTTCATAATATCACTTAGAATATGGTTTTTTTTTGTACTGAAATTTATTTTCACTGAACAATAAATATATATATATTTATTAAAAGATTCACAGCCTTTGTAATACATATTCAATAATAATATATTTAAACATACATTATTAATTGGTGTAGAAAACAATTTCAACTTCGTTACATTAATCCATAACCACTAGTTTTTGAACCTTGATTTTCATAAAAAGTACAAAGCCAACTTCAGTACAATCAAAATTCTTGTATTATTTTCATCTTGTCTCTAATTTAAATTTATAATGTGTGGTAATGAAAGAGAAATCCGATTGATCATCAAGAGTGAACAAATTGGCACAGCCTACTAACTCTTAAATAAGTGATTTCATTTCGTTCTCATTTTTAATCCGGACTTATTGTGTGTGTGTGTGTGACTGCTTATAACTGTGTGGAATAAAATATTAGTATATAGCTTACTCTGGTTCTCTATTTAATAATGAATCATGGATCTGGTTTGAGGTGGTGGTATACCGTTCGAGTATCTAATTCATTGGTAATATAAATACATTTAATCGCTATGTATAATACAAGAATACGTAATATATATGAAAGCAATACCTTTATTTTTTTAAATCTCAATTAGGATTACCTTGTCGGGGATTTCTGCGTAACAGCAATTTCTTACTTCCATGGGATGTATCCTTAATGAATAATAATAGTACCTGGAATAGTTCTGAGCGTGGACGTTTTAGTAAATCTGCAAGAGGAAGATATCGTGGAGGCAGGACAGGTAATGATTATTATCATTATTATTCTTATATTACTTATTCAATACGGTTGATATTTAATCTCAAGGCAATTTCACAATTATATAAATTTATCGAGCCAGTTATACATCATGTAAGTTGCTAGACATCCGATGGGCTCTAAAAAGCTTAAATACACATTAATTAAATTCTTATGGAGAAAAGAAGCAGTAAAAAGATATAATTTATCTCAGTGTGCAAAAACAAATAGTCTAATGTTTTCAACCTACGAATTCACTTTAATGCATGTCGTATATAAAAACACCACTGCTGAAATCAGTTAGCTTTGATGTTCATGAACATGAATTACTGTAGTGATTTTTGTTGGTTATCGTTTGTGAAAAAAATACACACATAAATACGACATAAGTCAGTATTGATAAACAAATTAATATAGTGTTTATTTCATAGGTTAAAGCAGCAAAATACAAATAATCACTGTTGTGTACCACGTGGAAAACACTTCCTGGAGCGCCTCCGGGGCTACTGTCAGTCCTAAGCCCGGATAAACGAGGAGGGTTGGGTTGGGAAGTCACGAGGCTGATACCACTTCTGACTTTTTTGTTATGTCATTTTCGTAAATCATTTCCCGGCCATTTGAAGGGAGGGTGCAGGATCTCCTCGGCAGTGGCTATCAACTCGTGTGAGAGCATTTGAGACGGAGGGCAGACTCTTCAAACTCTTGGCTACACCAAGAAATTTGGGGGCCCTTTCAAACGATTATTATATATATATATATTTATGTATGTATTTGAAAATGATTACAGTAACTCGCGTCCTTCTATAAGATGTGATCTACTCTTACTAGATAGTCCAATGCAGTTCCCCTGAGGTTAGGTTTGCTGTTACAATAAATTACCTAAGTTGATAAATTTATATGAAAAAAAACGTTGTTACAAATTTTCCTGTCAGTCAGTTTTAACCAGGATAAAATCCGGCACATGCCTTGTATCTGCTGACGTTTATTCGACTAGTTTGTATTGATAAATTCCTTGAGATCTCGTTACACTAAGGAATAACAGTAATTGCTTTCTTGTTTTTCAGATGGAAATAGTGCAGATACTTTGTGTTCTCAAAGTTTAAAATGTAAAGTGACTAGAATTCGTAATAAATATCTAATTTTAGATTGCGACTACAGTAGTTATGTATTTTTTCTATCCTTTTATTATATTTATGTAGAATCAGATACAGTAAAATTGTTTATCGGTTTTGAAATGGAATGTTCGATGGGTCATCGATTCTTTATTACTGGGACTGACCGAATTATGGATGGTCCAATGCAAAGCAGTCAAGTTCGACGAGCCGTTCATTTATTATTAACACGTGATCTACCCATTTTTATGCCATGCCAGTGTCATCATCCAACTCCACATGTACTACTCGGTAGTACACGTCATTCTGCTAATCCTACTAATGAATGGGAAGTAGGTAGTAATACCAATGCAATAAAATCATCTAATTATACAGACAATCCAATTATTATGGCACAGTTATCACGAATATATTTAGCTATACCAGCTGCTCCTATTCAAGTTCGATTTCAACCATGTATACGACCAGGACCATCGAAAGTTGCTCCAATCTTTCACCTAGGACATACATTGGATCAATGTTGTGATAAAAAATTGGACAGTACATCGGATTCAGGTTATGATCAAAGTTATTCAGTCGATGATGATTTATACTTTTACGAAGATCGTACCAAACCCAGCATAAATTTACACCCAGATACTGTTCGTAGTGAGAGACATCAATCACCAGGTTACGTTAACCTAGACAATGGGTATTTGTGGGTTATTCGGCTACCGTATCCTTATATCATGTTAATTACTGATAGTTATTCTAGGACTTCACAAGATTATTGCAAATGATTTTTTTATTACATTCTTACGGCGATACAATTAGTCGAGGAAATATGTTAGGATGACTGTTAGTTTGTTTGTAGAACTAATCGTCGAATTTTAAACAAATAATTACAAAGAGAAAGAAAACTATTAATCAATTGACTAAATATAAACTAGGGATCGAAAACTCATCTATACACGTTGTTGAAATCAACCTCGATTTGCAATAACGTAACCGCAATTTACTAGTGATTTGAGTAGCATTTTATTTGCACATCTGATGGAACCACAAGTAAATTACTCAAATAATCTTGTTTACGAACTTGAAATACTGGTAAAATTTTCATAAAATAGGATACACTTTGACTTTATATCTTGCTATACACGTCCGTCGTACCAAACTGTTGTGCGCATAATTTATATCCCACAATACTCAAAAAGTCTTGTAGAGATAAGTGCACTTTGATTTTTTAACAATGTCAACGATAAACTAGTTATCATCCTCAGACAATTGAGAATACACTTTATCTTTCCAGAGATCAGCTGATATTACTCTGATTTTATAATACTTATTAGCTATTTCAAATTGCTTTTGTTTGAGCTTTTCACGTAGCTCTTGAAAATCTACCGAATATTTTATGTCGGTATAAAGTGTTCCTAGAATTCACGACAATAAAATCTATCTGATAATTTAACGATGATCGGTCCACGTTACATTTATGTGCTTACTTTTTGAGCGTAAATAAATTTTAGACAAACCGACAGGCAAACAACACCAATCATGAGTACTGGCAATTGTATAATACAACATCATTAGTTTTATTGTAGTCCGTTAATTATATCCATCTTATTTAGCAATTAAATTCCAGGATCGTAAATCATCGATCTCTCCAAATGTTAAGTGGATTTGAATCCCATATCAATGAAATAAAATTGCCCAACGAGGTACAGTATGGTTTGGCATAACGGCTTGTTAAATCCCACTGAGATAACTATGGTTCGAACTAAAACGCTTTTTATTGATACCTCTTTATCCTAATCTACAGTTCGACCAGCAAGCTGCTCTCATTTTAAATCTATTTTACAGATTATTTTAATAGCTAAAAAAAGGCAACCCACCTTAACATCTTTATAATATCGCATTGTTTTTTTGCCTTAATAATACAAGTCTTGCATATCATGACGGAACAAAACTATATCCGAAGCCATTGTATTCAAGTGATTGTAATGAGTGGAAATTATTAAAAGGCTGTATAAAACTTGTAGCATAACAAGACGCCTGTTAAATGTATTGTATTTACTCTCTGTAAATATATTCTTTAATTTTCGAGAATACATGTTATTCTTTTTTTTGTATGTTTGTCTCCATACGCAGTTATTCATTGGTACTAAAGCGGTGTATGTAATTGCTGTTGGCTACAATACTATTTTGCCCTAATACTGAGTATTACTCATTGCATTTAACCCGAGTTATTGGAAAATAGTTAATTAAGTATTTATGTTTCTTACTGCGAAAATCATTAAATAAGTATTAGTGTCACTATCCATTTGATGATTGAGCTGTTCGTTTAAAACTACTTTAATTCATGCGAAGTAAAGAGCACAAATAAAGTACGTTAGTTAACTTGAAACAAGTATATATGTACATAAACATAACATTAACAGTTAATCAACTAGAAAATAAATTCATCCGGTTTCATCCACTTTGCAAGCCGTTTTATGCATTCAGGTCCAACATTACAACATCCACCAACCCATTGAGCCAAAGGAGGCTTATTGTTTGCTGAATAACATAAATTTTCAGCATTTGAAGTTTCACGGCGTTTTGCCCATTTAATAGTGTTTGGAAACCAACTGTCATGGTTGTATTGTGAATTATTGATCAAATCATCTTGCTTTTCATTGACGCCATCAGTCATCCATAAACGACCATCATTTGCATAGAATAACAACAGTTTACTTGGATTACTTTCTGATTCTTTACGCATTTGTGAATCCAGGTTAGCAAGTGCCTCACCAATACAATCATGTGATATATTACAATTAACACCAATTCCAAAAACCTGGTAGTATAATAATGGAAATGTATCATCAGTGTTTAGTGTGAGATAAGATAAAAAGTTTTATGGCAGACCATAAAGTACATATATACTTGAAATTATTTACGGAATTATGATGTGTAGTAGACAATAAGCAATTAATTCATATTTGGCCGTCACTACTATAATTACAGAGATAGAAAATTTTGAGCACTATTTTAGAACCTCACAAGATGTACTTCACTGTGGTTAGTTGAGTAGTACCACTAATTGAAAATTTTATCTCTGAATTAATTAACAACATATCTGATAGATTTTTCTTGTTTCCGATAAGCGTACTACAAAAACTTCGCGGAAAATAGCCTATTAGAGCAGAACACTTACATGATTACCTTGCTAATGATGTTTTGAGTAAAATTCACTCATAATAGACCATGTTAGATAAATTGTATATACATTTAAACAGATAAGAATCTTCATTTTATTTTGGGTTGGAGCTTTACGTACCTGTTTACACTTTTCTACTTCACACGCAACTGACGTTAGTAAATCACCACCGGATGTTTTTTTACCATCTGGTGACGAGACTGATATCCAGCAATGGGCTGATGGTAGTCTGCGCATAACTTCGCATATTGATGAAACTTCTTTTAAAAGTGGAACAGTTTCCCATGCTATGAAATCAACTCCTGACTGTAATAAGATTTGTGCTCTTGATAAATGAAATTCCACTAGTTCGGTAAATGAGACTTTGTTTGCATACGAACCAGTATACTCTGATCCGTCAGCGCAGCATGCCCCATATGGACCTAAAGATCCGGCAATAAGAACAGGCAATTTTCGTTGGAATTCACTTGATTTATTTTCTTCTTCCCGTGCTCTTTGGGCTAAACCTACAGCAGTACGCATAAGGCTTTTCGCTTCCTCATCAGTTATTCCAAGTGCTTTAACCAAGGTTGAAGGTGCTGCTTGATAAGTGTTCGTAGAAATCACGTCACAACCAGCACGCAAAAAGCTTTAATATAATATGATGCGTTGAAAGATTAAGAAACTGCAATATCAAAATTAAGTAAATGTAACTGAAATTGCTCTACGAATGATTCGTAATGGCTTAGTATGGTGTTGTATGAGCTCCGTTATCTTTTCGATAAAAATCATAGACAAAAACGTCATACACCACTAGAAGTTGCTTCGATGGAAAAACTTATCAATGAACTTACGAGTGAATGATTGTATGTGTAAAATTAGACGCGGTAGAATTCGTTGAAATTATGTGATGAATATACCATCTACAGATTGAATTAAACATGGAAAGCGTGTTATGACGACTTCGTACAAAGTTTGAAATCTCCTACACAACTAACGATTTTTTCCTATCCAAGTTATGAATGAGAAACAACGGAACCCACGACTCGTTCCAAATATGCTAATCCCAGCAAATACTGTTTACTTAGTTATTAGTTTCATAGTAGCTGTGATGTGTAACAGAAAAAACACCTTCTTAAGATTCTAGTTTTGTTTTGTACAAGTTTTGTTAAAATATAGGTGAAACGAAAGATGAACTGTGTTAAACTATCTTTGTCACGACCGTATGATGAGATTATTATTACTGAGTCGATTATAGTCATATGGTAATGTTGTCAACAAAAATAGCTTACAAATTCTTAATGACTGACATAACGACATTCCTCCTAGAGTGCACAAATGCTGCTTCACTTTAGAACTGCATAAGCTCATGTCTACGCTTTACTATACAACTCTAATCAAACTAATGAGTAGGATTATAGAGAAATACAAAACTTACGACTTATGTATTTCAACAACTAATTCTGGGTCATCCATTAATAACCTGGAACTCCAAGCCAAATGTCCATTAATCTGTAGACCTGATAGCTTCTGACTTTCTGTTCCGAACCCCCCATCCAGAAGCCTTATTTCAGTGAGCCATCGAGATACATGATCACAATTTATCTTAGTCATGATTTGACTAAGATTGATTATATTTGGAAATAAATTCATTTGAATAAACGATGAAAACAAAAATACCCAGCTAAGGACATTTAAATTTCCAACAAAAAAAGAATATGTTCCAGAAGACTGGATAATTGAAAAAACCGAGATTATTTATTAGTGGTATTTGTTTTCTTATCTAACACTCAAATAAATTAGTTTCAAAATGTTATGCTAGATAAGGTATCGTTGAGGAACGTCTAAAACTCGGATACAGCGCTGGACGTTCATCAAATTATGACTGCCTTACGAAACTTACGATCTCAGTTTCTTCGACTTCATTATTTTAGTAGCATTATATGCAAATATATCACTTGTCTGTGATGAGTTACTTATGTCAAAGTTCTTTAACGTGAAATAGTATAAAGCATCTACCAACGAAAGACCAATACTACAAATAATTGGATACAATTGAAGAGCGACATCATGCGTAAACTCTACGTTTATATGTAGTTAGGACTTGCATATTAGTCCGAAGTTATTTCTACAATCAGACAATGTGAGAAACCTAATCGGATCTTATGCATCTTTCCTTCACTTATTTGACATAAATGTACTGTATTTGTTTGTTCTTCAACCATTTAGCTAATAACTAGTACCAAATTAAGAATTACGGCGCGACCTAACCTTTTTGGTTTATGGGAAGGTCTGGTAGAATGTTTGTGTCGAGGTGACTATGTACATTGTGTGCCATCATCAAATTACCTATTACTTGTCTGTAGCTCAGCTATAATAATCAAAATTGTCGATGTGTCTGACTTCGTAAGATTTTCTTATTGGCACAATCAACCACTTAGTTCTTGGTATAAGAGACTTGTGCCTCTTAAAGAGGGAAGGTACAACAACGTACACGTGAATGCGAGGTCTTGAGTAAGTTTCCAAATGTCAGAAAAAATTCTAAGGTGATGGTACATACGTATCCATGAAGTCACTGACAAGTGGACTGAGTCATGTTGGTAGATGTAGACTACCTGGTTGGGGTCCGCGAAACGAAAGCCATCAATGGTTAGAGACCTTGAACGACATGGCTCAAAATCGTTTGCAGTGGCGCAGGTGCATCCACTCTATGAGCTCTCTCAAATCCTAATCTTCTGGATTCGTCAGCACCTCTACCTTTGTCTTTCTAACCTTATCTCACTGAATTATATTTCTTGAATAATATCTTCGAACCCTAGTCTTCTTTATTAACATTAATACCTCCACTATCTTTATCACTATGGGATTTGATTTGACATTTGCCTCTCCGTGCTGTGGTATGGCAACATGAACTTATGTACATACGTACGAAGTTCTACGTTGCAACTGACTGACTGATCTTCTTATTAAATTGAAAGCTGTATCCCCTATTTAGTTTGATTTGATGTTAAAGCTCTTGGCGATTAATAGTCTCATGAATTTACCTGGGAGGATTATCTCAGTGGAAGTAAGTTTTTTGTGTTCCATAGGGCTAAACGTTGCATGACATTAGTTATCACGAAAAAAGTAATGCCAAATCCTTATAGAAAACCAGTCTTAAATAAGTAGTGTTTTCAAATAGTGAATAAAATCAATTATCCGAAAAATCGACTTAAAACACGAAAAAACCCGGAACCAAGGTAACAAGTGTTATCAGCGTTTCTTGCAGGGCAGGAAGTATTTTAAAAAGCAGCATACAAACCATAGTCAGTGAATCTGTGAGAAGAGAGAAGATGGTATGCCAGCAAACGACGTATATTTTCAAGGATTAAATTGCGCGGCCATGGTACAAAAAGGAAAGCTTATTTACAAAATAGTATCATACATCATTTTGCAAGTTCAGTTTACGCAGGGTTCTTTCTTTTTGCACATTTGCCCTTTGTTACCCTGTAATAAAAAAGACGGATTAACATTACACTGATTTTTTAACACTATTACAATATCCTCTCTTCATGAGGTACTGCAATCAATGCTTAGTTGTGGACATGGACATATCATACTTCCCGATGGTAATGTAACAGATGGCGGGGCGTTGATAAACGGCGTATCTGAATATATCGTCATTTGGTCTAGTTTCAAATGGTAATAATATAATGTTATGACGTCGTCTTGATGTCACTTATCATTACGTAAGACAAAAGGAGTGGGAGATCAGATAAGCACAATTTCGTTAAGGCCTTAGGTAGGGTTAGCTGTATATTCCCGGTCGTGTTACAGGACGGTACAAACAAATAGTATATCCTGGTTTAGAAACCTATTAATTTGTCTGTCGCAGATATACATTTTTCTGGCGGTACGCATTAGCGAGACGGTTACGAAAATTATGGATGTACGCTATAGGTTCTTAGACTTCACAATGTATACGTAATTCATGCCCAAAAATTTGTAGGTGATGATCCTGTGTACTGATGCACGACAAGCCAGGAGATATTGAGGCATTGCATCATCCCAAAATCTAGCCAACGACTTGCTGATGAACGATCGAAAGCTTTTGATTCTCCTGATTGTCCTTTATACGTGATCCATTCCTTTTGGGTGGGATGCAGTAGTGTTTCTGGATTCCTAATATTCGGCATACTTGGGTGATATGATGACATTTAAAGGCTGTCCATAGTGAAAATGGGGCGCCTTAGCGAGAAACCCAATGGCTGATGAAAGCTCGGTCAACCATGAGGGCACTCTGCTGTGGAATAAAGACGATTTCATACCGTTTAATGAAAATGTCTAGCATCATCAGTATGAAGCGACTTCCGTTCTTCGTTGTATGTGGCCCAATAATATTAATTTCGACACGCTGATGCGACACTGCTATCATCATTAAGTTAACGGTACACGGGGTGCATGCTTCAGTGTTTTAAACTGTAACACATGATACAAGGTTTCCGAGATTTCGTCCTATTTTCGTGGACAGATGGCAAATATTACATAAATGTAATTAGTTCGATATTGCTATATAAAACTCGGGTGAAGATTTCAGTTAGTCATTAACAACGTAAAACTTCGTACGTGAGTACATAAGTTTAGGTTGCCATACCGCATTAGCACAGAGACGCAACTGTCAGTTCACATCCCACAAAAACTGAACGTACCAATTACCAAAATCAAATCTAGAGATTGGTACGTTCCGTTTCTTGTTCTCACGAGTGGCCGGGTTCATCATGAACGTGCTTCATAATATTTTGGAGTCTCACACATGATACTATTAATAGCGATAGTTCTGATTCACTGATTACGAATAATATCTCTTTAAGATCTCAGGTTGCCCCAATAAGCACAAAGATGGAAAGTTGGCAGAGGGTGATTTCTCAACTTTTCCACATATCGCTTATTATTTTAGTGCAGTTATTTTCGGTGAGTTGCAGGTCGGGGATCCGTCACCTGCAGAGATAGTCAATCTGTCTCAGGGGCTGTGCTAAAAATAGCACTAGTGGCACTTGGGATATAAGGTATGCAGAACAAATCATCAATGTTTGTATAAAATCAGTGAGAAAGAAGCCTGAGAACGTCGTCGTCTGATTGACACTCGTACCCTCTTACCGTTTCTCTGTGCCTACACCTACAGTAATGCGGTATCCAAAAAAGAGTACCTCTTTTTACAGCAGTCGATATTTAGACGTCCTCATTTTCAAGCAGTGTCGTCTGAGACGCTGGAAGACTGCTTTTAAATTAGCAACACGTTATTCGGCTTTCTGAGTATACAAAATAATGCCATCGAGGTATATCAAGCATTTTTGAGGTACTACCTGTAAAACTATTTGCACTGGTCTTTGGAAGTTGGGGGTCGCATTATTAAATTCGAGAAGTATTACTTGGAGTTCAATGACCAGTTTGTAATGTTTCCTGTCCAGAGGACATCTAGAACTTACTGACACCTGTATGCAAGACCAAGAGTATAAAATCAGTTGCGCCTTTGATGGCATCAATCCACAGTAGCGGAAAACAATGAAGTGTTATTACAGCATTAAGACAAAAGTAATATTCACGTAGTCAAAGGGAGGAGTCTTTTTTTGCTACTAAAACAATGGGTGAAGCCGAGGATGATGACGAAGTTATTATAGTCTTTTTCTTTAGCATCCCATTACAAAGTCGAGCTACGGATAATAATGTACTGACATTGCAAGATGACTGACGGAGAGGCATTGGGTTACCTATGTAAATGGAATGCGTTCGATTTTCAGAGATATTATCCTTGAATACAGAGATAAATTGTCAGGGTAAAATATTTGTAGCACTATTTGTTTGCTACTTTGTTTTAGACGTAGGATTTTCGACACACCTAAAAGAGCAACAGATTTCAGTTGATTCGAATAGTGGTGTACCCGCTGTCGCCTTGCTAATTTGTGCTTACGACTTGGCCTTGTGCGCAGCAACACTATGCCTTAACATAAAACCAACAAGATAGTTCAAGCCAAACTATAAAAATTGTGCACCCACTTTTATGTCCAATTTTCTCTAATCGTGTGCCTCCAAAGGGGGTGCCAATCAGTGTGATTAATGCTATAAGGTTTGGTGTTTGCGCAAATACCTCGTTAATAAGTGCTGCTTATGCGCCTGGTCTGTATACAATTTCGGTTTCGAAACTTATAATAAAACCTCTAATGGTATCGGAACATAAATTAAATATACTATGAAGATAAATGGTTAAGCTTACCTGCATTTCGAAAACGACGCTGAGTAGACCTCCTGAGTCTCTAGACAAACTATCAACAAAAATGTAATATCCTTATATTCCTGTTAAATGGTTTCCGAAAACCGATTGTTCAGCAAGAAGATCGGGGGACAACTTTTTACACTTTGATATGGCAGGCATCTGACAGATGCAACACTTGGGGACTGTCCATCGGATATGAACCGAGTCATATTATTTGATCTGGAAGACCCTAAAGAATTCATACTTAAATTTGATACCTAAAGGAGACTACTATGATCATCGATCGTACTTGAAAGGTGGAACAACCCAGCGAGAATTAACCAAATGATTTGCAGCAAGAAATCCATAATTAGGTTTTAGATGA